CCTGAACCGTTCTCTGAGGAGATTCAGGTTCAAGATGCTCACTATTCCCATTATCGTGAGTCAAATTCAGTCCGAGGATTGGTTTGTCACGATAGATCTAAAGGACGCATACTTCCACATATCCATCCTTCCATCTCACAGGAAGTTCCTGAGGTTCGCTTTCGGGGGCGAAGCGTACCAATATCGGGTTCTTCCGTTCGGCCTAGCTCTCTCCCCTCGCACATTTACCAAATGTATGGATGCAGCTCTGGCACCGCTGAGGCTTCAGGGCATCAGGGTGCTCAATTATATCGACGACTGGCTGATTTTAGCGCAGTCACAGGAGCTGGCGGTTCGGCATCGAGATGTCGTCCTCGCCCACATCCAGAGCCTGGGGTTGAGACTCAACACGAAAAAGAGCGTGTTGACACCAGCCCAGAGAACTACGTTCCTGGGAGTGGTGTGGGACTCGGTCACGATGCGGGCACAATTGTCTCCCGCGCGGATCGAGTCCATCCTGACCACAGTGTCCAGGATAAGGCTAGGCCAAGCCATCACTGTGAAGCACTTCCAGAGAGTGTTGGGGCTCATGGCAGCAGCGTCCAGTGTCATTCCATTCGGCCTGCTGCACATGAGGGCCCTTCAGTGGTGGTTAAAAACCAAGGGGTTCTCCCCGAGGGGAAACCCGTTCCGCATGATCAGGGTTACGCGCAGATGCCTTCGTTCCCTATCTATGTGGAAGAAAGCTTGGTTTCTGTCCCAAGGGCCAGTGTTGGGAGCGTCATGTCGCCGGAGAACCGTTTCGACAGACGCCTCCCTCACGGGCTGGGGCGCGGTCATGGACGGCCGCTTTACGACAGGCCTATGGCAGGACCATCATGCCTCCTGGCACATAAACTGCCTGGAGATGTTGGCGGTGTTCCGAGCTCTGAGGAGCTTCCTGCCGGACCTCAAAGGTCATCATGTCCTTGTGAGGTCAGACAATATGTCGGTAGTGGCCTATATAAACCATCAGGGGGCTCTGAGGTCTCGCCCTCTATGCAGACTGGCGCATCAGATCCTCCTGTGGTCCCAGGGGAAGTTGTTGTCTCTAAAAGCAACATTCATCCCGGGGAGTCAAAATCAGGGAGCAGACATCCTGTCGAGACAGGGGCTGAGGCCCGGGGAGTGGAGACTCCACCCCGAGGTGGTGGAGTCAATATCTCACAGGTTCTGCCCAGTGGAAGTGGACTTGTTCGCGTCTCGAGAGACGACCCACTGTCCACTGTGGTTTTCCCTCACCCATCCAGCCCCGCTGGGGTTGGATGCCATGGTGCAGACGTGGCCGAGGCTACGTCTGTACGCATTTCCCCCGATCGCTCTGCTCCCGGGAGTTCTAGAGAGAGTCCGTCGCGACGGGATCAGTCTACTGTTGGTAGCCCCGTTGTGGCCGGCCCGAGTATGGTTCTCCGACATAATTTTGCTCCTGGACGGCCCTCCATGGGAGATTCCCATCAGGAGGGACCTGCTGACACAGGCAGAGGGCTCAATATTTCACCCTCGGCCCGAGTTATGGAAACTGTGGGTCTGGCCCCTGAGGGGGCACAGTACCTAGAGGCCGGCCTATCAGCTGGAGTAGTGGAGACCATACTCAGCTCTAGAGCTCCATCCACAAGGAAATTGTACGGCTTAAAGTGGAACGTCTTCACCGTTTGGTGTAGGGAGCGTGAGGTGGACCCAGTTAACTGCCCAGTGGCTTCAGTGCTGGAGTTCCTCCAAGATCGCTTCTCCACTGGTCTTACCCCGTCCACACTCAAGGTGTACGTGGCTGCCATTGCGGCTTTCCACGCTCCTCTGAGTGATGGGCCTCTGGGGAGACACCAATTGGTCGTACGTTTCCTCCGTGGGGCTTGGAGGATGAGACCTGCGGCTCGTACCAGGGTTCCCACTTGGGACCTGGCAGTGGTTCTCGAAGGGCTGGCCGAGGCCCCCTTCGAGCCGCTGGAGTCGGCTGAGGCCAAGAATCTTTCGTTGAAGGTGGTCTTTTTGTTGGCCATTACTTCTCTGAGGAGGGTAGGAGATCTCCAGGCGCTCTCCATATCTAACGAGTGCCTGGAGTTTGCTCCAGGCAACATTAAGGCCATTCTTCACCCTAGGCCCGGCTATTTGCCTAAGGTGCCGTCCAGTGCGGCACGGCCTACGGTTCTGCAGGCTTTTCATCCTCCACCTCACGTGACGGCGAATGAAGAGAGACTTCACATGCTCTGCCCTGTCAGAGCACTGAGTATTTACATTCAGAGGTCCTCTTCATGGCGGAAGTCGGACCAGTTGCTGGTGTGTTTCGGGTCGCCCAGAAAGGGGCTTCCCGCCTCAAAGCAGACCATCAGCAACTGGATTGTCCAAGCGATTTCCACGGCCTATCAGGTGCGCGGTATGCCTTCACCTTTGGCCGTGAGGGCTCATTCTACCAGAGGCATGGCGTCCTCTAGAGCCCTTCTCGCGGGGGCCCCCATCCAGGAGGTCTGCGATGCAGCAGGATGGGCTACCCCGCATACCTTTATTAGGTTTTATAGTTTGGACATTCCGTCTACACCCGGCTCTCTTGTGCTCGCGTCCTAAGTGTGCCTGTGAGCAGCTTCACACTAGGGCAGGCAGGGCGCGTTGTGGCGTAGTGGGTACTCGTTCCCCCAAAGTGTCATTCGACGCAGTTGGAGTTCCCTCGAAAGGGAACGTCCTCGGGTTACGACTGTAACCCTTGTTCCCTGAGAAGGGAACGAGAACTGCGTCCCTTGGCCACGCCTTCCCCTGCCTGGGAGCGCTTGCTTCATCACAGAAGCTGACATCTTATGTGTGCCGGCTGCTTTTATAGCTTCCGCCTATGTGCCGCCACACATCACGTCATGACGTTGCACCAATCAGAGATCGGCTCAGTTTCATTCATACTTCAGAGGCGCTACGCTGAGGGGCGTTCCCCCAAAGTGTCATTCGACGCAGTTCTCGTTCCCTTCTCAGGGAACAAGGGTTACAGTCGTAACCCGAGGACGTTTTTCACAATTTAAAACAATCTATTGTTTTATGTGAATGATTAGGCAGAATGATTTTCAGATCAATTCGAAGCAAAAACTCTAGGCGACAACATCCACTAATCAAAAGTCTTGTGGACAGATATTTAGTATGTTATTTGTGGCCTTATATTAGAAACATTATTTTTTAGTTTTTTCAATAACCACGCATAAACAATATTCTCTCAAAAATACAAACATGTATTAACATGTTGTTCACATATTATGGTAGCCCTGTGTGTGCTATATAGAGTGTAATTTCACCTGTGCCATTAATATGTTTATAAGCAACTGAAAAAAGCACAAATGTCAGAGCATGGCAAAACATCTCAAGGACCCCGAAAACACCTCAGACCCCAGAGGGTTAATGGCAAAGGTGTAAATTCACTCTATATAGCACAAACGGGGCTACCATAATATGTGAGCAACATGTATGTGCATTAGTGCTGCCACGATTAGTCGACTTAGTCGACGTAATCGACCATGCAAATTAGTCGACGGCAATTTTTTTAGTCGACGTGTCGTTTTACTATTGACCGCTATTTATTTTTGGTCTCCCGTCACAAACGGCTCACTGTAATTCACCTCCACACACCAGTCTGTGCGCCGTGCGCGCCCTACTGGTTTATCTGCTATCATTTTCCTTCACGTTCCCGCCCGCCTTCACTGCTTTAATATGAAAAATTGCGGAGGCAGGTGACGGAGCTTTCACAGTGGGCTCGTTTGCTGCGGTCCGAGTCCGAGCGCGAGCGCGATTGTTCCCGGCGCCCCCCGCAGCGTTGGTCTGGTTTCACACTAAATTCTATCGAACCCTGTTGAGTTTGCGTGCATCTTATGCCATCGCAAACGTGCACGGCGCATGATAGAAAACAGAACGCGGGTCAATATATTGTGTTTTTCAAACGGACTCTTTTGAGGAGACAGTGGATTTCCAAATGTGTTGCCCTGATTGCACGTGCAATGCGCGAATACACTGCAGACTCAACTCTCGGGTATCCAAGGTAAATCATCAACACTATCATCCCTTACATGTGTTTTATTTAACTAAATGCATCATAATCAGCTAAAACGCATGGGCAGGTTACTTAACTTCCTGAACAAGCGCTCCCGAGTCCGTGTTGCTTTCACATTCACGCGAACCGCGGCACGGGCCCTCCATGCACGCAAGTGTAAACGCGAGCTACATAACTGCGTGCCTGCCTGCTTTCAGCGCGACTCATAGTGGGCTAGTCCAGACTCTTTCAATTCAATTCCAATTTATTTGTATAGCGCTTTTCACAGAAAATGCATTGCATCTACTTTACTATTCAGAGTGATGTTATCAGTTATGCTTTTCAGAAATGTACATAAATTAATCATTATGAGCTTACTGTACATTTTTTAAGGCAGAACAAAGAGCTAATTTAAGTAATACATACATGTTTGTTATTAGAGGATTAGATTAGGACTCTGACTAATATGGAATAGCCTAATGGAAATGCAGATACTTAATGCTTAGATTGTTAATACATAATGTTTTTGAACAAGTGACATTTTATGTTTTGGCCCTTCAGTTGAGTTCAAAATAAAATGGACACAACGAAATAAACACTTGATTTTTTTTTTAATTAGTCGTTTAGATTAGTCGACTAATCGAAAAATTAGTCGAAAGATTAGTCGTTAGAAAATTAATCGTTAGTGGCAGCACTAATGTACATGTTTGTATTTTTAAGATAATAATGTTTATGCGTGGTTATTGAAAAAAAAAAAAAAGAAAGTTGCTGAAATAAGACCACAAAACACATACTAAATATGTGTCCACAAGACTTTTGACTAATGGATGTTGTCGCTTCGAGTTCTGGCTTCAAAATGATGTGAAAATCATCCTGTCTAATTGTTCACATAAAACAAAACAATTATATTTATACTTTGTATGACAGTTTCTTTGTCAGAAGAGGTTTATGCGTGGGAGTGGTAATGGCCTATCAATATTAATGAGATTCAGACCAGGGGTGTGACAGACACTCTCCCAATGGCTAATGGCCCATCAAGTGAGGCAGCCTGAACAAAGAATGAGAGGAGATTCAAAGATTTTCAATCTGTTTTATTGTAATTCCTCTATGTGGAGAAACTAAATGTTCTAAATTTGCTCTAAGCAAATCAAATGTGAGTAAAATAAATAAATAATCAGTCAGCTATAAACAAAGCAATTGTAAGCAAAAAATAAACAAAAGTAAGGGCAGGTATCTCACAGTAAATGCTTATGCCCCGTTGATGCGGGCTCTAAGCAAATCAAATGTGAGCAAAATAAACAAAAGTAAAGGCAGGTATCTCACAGTAAATGCTTATGCCCCGTTGATGTGGGCTCTAAGCAAATCAAATGTGAGCAAAATAAACAAAAGTAAAGGCAGGTATCTCACAGTAAATGCTTATGCCCCGTTGATGCGGGCTCTAAGCAAATCAAATGTGAGCAAAATAAACAAAAGTAAAGGCAGGTATCTCACAGTAAATCCTTATGCCCCGTTGATGCGGGCTCTAAGCAAATCAAATGCTGCGTGTATAGTACCGGTGAAAAGTTTGGACACATTACTATTTTTAATATAAATTTTTTTTTTTTAAAAATAAGAGTAACACAGTCACACATCTTTATGCCACTCTTGAAAACAGTTCCTGTTCAACTGAAGACATAAGTGAACATTGCGTGCCTGGCATTTCCATGGTGTCAATTGCTTTTTACCACGCACTGCTTTCCAATGCACACATGTGCGGCGACCAAGTGTGGCAACATCCCTGCCTTCTGATGGCAGCTCAGCTCCTGGAACCGGTACATGGTCACTATTGGTCCGTTTTGGTGCCGTTTTCTGTGACACATAACAGAGCTCTGTGATAAGTTGCTCCATAAACTCTTTATGAGACAAGTTACCATGTAGCTCTTTGTGCACAATGAAAGAGTTGGTGGAAGCAATGTCCAAGAAGTGTAGAAAAATCTTTCTGTACCACTTCATGGTTTTGTGCTGTGTTGTGTAGTACTGTAACAGCTGATCAGACAGGTCAACACCACCCATATGTTTGTTGTATTCAGTCACAGGTGTAGGACATGGAAATGTCTTTGTCCTCCATGTATCCTGTGTTTTCACCCTCCTCTGTGCAGTGTCTCGCGTATAAGCAGGATGGATGGTAGAACAGACAGATACCTCTCGTGTGTCCATCCACTTCACAAATACAAGAGGTCCATTCCGAATCCACCTGATGGATCCCCTGGCAGATTTTTTTAGACAGTGAATTAGCTGCATTCTGAGGGCAGTCCTTCCTGTTGTCCCTGTAAGTCCCACATGCACCAAACTTCACTGCAAACATGTCTTTTAGGAGCTTTGGACTTGTATAAAAATTGTCCATGTACACATGGTACCCAAAAATGTGTGGTCTAAAAGAGATGTTACAGCATCATATGACAGTCCATGGCCTGTGGGAAAGGTGTTCTTTCCTGTGTATACAGAAAAGTCCACAGTGAATCCATTCGATGAGTCTGCAAGAACAAACAGCTTGAAACCCCACCTGGTTGGCCTGGCTTTCATGTACTGTGTCATACCTGTGTGTGCTTTGCATGCCACCATTCTTTCATCCACAGCTAAGTTTCTTTTAGGATGATAGATGGCTTTACAAGCATGACGAATGGTGTCCATGAGAGGTTTGATCCTGAAAAGACGGTCATGTTCAGGTGTGCCCCTCTTCCTGTCATTCTCCTTATCTGCATCTGGGTGACTCATGTGCACATTCCATGAAATGGTGCGGTATCTGTCCCTGGACATAACTGTGGCTGGAAAGGGTACGGAGAAAACCCTGCTTTGCCGCCAGTAGTCTCTGATGGAGCTGACCTTCACCATTGCCATGTAAAACAGCAGCCCAATGTAGCGGTACATCTCACTGATGCTGACATCTGTCCATTTGTATTTGCAACCCTTTGCAGTTGCCTTGGCAGCTTGGGCATTGGTGTTGTGGCACAGAGTTGACACAGCACTTTCTGAAAAAAATAGTTTGAATAGACTCATGGGCGAATGCGAGTCTACAGAGCTCAGTTGCGGTCCAGTTTCCCGTGCAGGAAGGAATCGCAGTGTCTGTGGAACCATGTCAACATCAGTCTCTGTTTTCCATGATAGAGTGGACTGCCTGTTGCTTGCCTGCTTGTTTGCCTTGGCTCTCTTCGGAACTGGTGGATGGACGTGTTCATTGTCACATCTGTTAAAAGAAAAAAGTTTGAGCATGCTGATAACACAATCAAATAAACTGTATTATTATCATTATCAATCACTAATTGCCATGGATAATTTTTTTTTTGTGTGTAATTTCACACAAGAATAGGTAGCCTACTTTTACATTATGATGATGTAAACACAATTAGACTAAATTTCATCTGTAAAATATTACGTCTGTGCACTTACTCAGTATGATTCTCGATCGCACTGAGAACTGAACGACACCTGCGTGTCCCTCTGCGAGGTGCTGGCGAAGGAGAGCATGATGCAGACACATTCCTAAAAAAAAAAAAAATAATAAAAAAAAAACTGTTAGCATACATTATCCAAAGTAAACTGATGGACAATTAATGGGTATGGATGCACAATGTATGTATATATCTGTTGATGGGCCATGGGACGGAGAAATATCTGTTGATGGCCCATATAGACGAAACTAAACTGAACATGTATATATCTGTTGATGGGCCATGGGACGGAGAAATATTGATGGGCCGTAGACCACGTCACCGCGAGTATCTGTTGATGGGCCATATAGACCGCACGCATTTAGTGATACACGCAATGAACGGATCGTTCGCGAACGACACATCACTACATTTCAAACATTTACACCTGTATTCAGTTATTTACGCATGATATAGTGTCATAGGCTAACCAAAACTGAACATTTAACTATATAAAAAATATATTGTATTTAGACCTCTTTACCGGAGCCTGAAATATTTCTCGTAATATAACCTAAGCAGTTATTCACAAACAAAATACATTAGGCTACGCATAAGGCACTATTTTAGCATAAGTGTCATAGGCTAACCAAAACTCCATTTTTATATAAAAAATATATTGTATTTAGACAGTATCACATATTTTACCGGAGGCTGAAATATATTTCACTAATAGGCTATATAACCTAAACATGCAGTTATTCGCAAACAAAATACATAACGCATAAGGCAGTATTTTAGCATGATAATCAGTGTCATAAGCTAATCAAAACTATACATATTTAATATACAAATATGTTTAGAGAGTAATATCACATTTAAAAAGTTTACACGAGCGTATAAACGAATGTTAGGGATATTGTGAAGCAATCTTTTCTGTAAGATGTCAAAAGCTAGGCAAAATATAGTCTGAAAATGCATTTGAACTCTATACGATCAGAAAAGAAATTATAAAACACTAAACAACTTACTTCGAGCTTGTATCCTCGGCGGGATCAATTCGTTCTTCAAAATGCAGCCGTTCCTCGTCCGAGTTACAATCTTCCTCTGAGGAAAAGGTGAATTCTTCCTCGCTGTCCAGAATCATCTTGTATTTCCCACCACCCAGGGAAGTGACGATGGCGCCTGTGTTTGGCTCAGCCGCGTCTCTCTCTGTATTTTATGTCTCCTGGTCTCAGATATTTATTTTAATATGCCTTTTAATGCCACTATTTTTGTCCACAAATGTATCAGCCGCCCTGGTTTATGATCGGCAATTGCTGTTGCTTATTAGAGCTGAAATGTCCGGTTTTATGGGTATCGGTGATCCACCTCCAATACCACCCTGCATTCGCCTGTGCTTACCAGGTCACGATCTCTCGCTGTACCGCAACTGGAGAAGAAAGCCTGCGCACCTGCCCAAGAAGTGTGGTAAACGGAGGAGGCGAGGGACCAGGGCGGGTTTCCAGGCCAAGAATCGCAGCCTATGGAAATACTCCCTTGTTGGCAACCGGACGGACTGTCTGCTTGTGGATCGTAATCCTCCATTTTTCTACCAACCAGGCATTGACTGGCCCTGGATCCCCGTCAGAGCATCCTACCTGCGGGCAGTGTTTCCGGATGCGTCCGGTGGATTGCTGAATAGGGATCCACCTCCCTTCCACCTTGGCCGGGTTCGTCGTGGCCTGCCTACGCTTAGGATTATTGAGTGTACATCTTCTTCCTCAACCTCTGAAGACTCAGTTATTTCTTCTGTGAATATGTGCTTGTTAAATGCCCGTTCTGTGGCGAACAAGACGCACATTCTGAACGATCTGTTCGTAAGGCAAAACTTGGACTTTCTATTACTGACAGAAACTTGGCAACGTAACTCGGAATTTATTCACTTAAATGAGCTGTGTCCTGTTGGCTGCTCGTTTATTGGATCCCCGCGTCTGTCTGGCCGCGGTGGAGGACTTGCCATAGTATGGAGAAATAGCTACTCCTGTCAGCTGGTGAGCGTGGAAACTTTTTCCTCTTTTGAACTGCAAATCACTAGAGTTGGTCGGATAAAGCCGTTCTTTTGCATCCTCATTTATCGTCCTCCTGGTCCTGCTGGGCAGTTTTTAACAGAGTTTACGGACTTTATGTCATCTGTTATTAATTTTGAAAAGCTATTAATGGTTGGGGATTTTAACCTGCACACTGATGTTGCCGATAATCATGTCGCAAAAGATTTTCTTAGTATTACGGATTCACATAATCTAAAGCAGCATGTTCATGGACCCACACATACTGGTGGTCATACATTAGACCTTGTTTTCACACTAGGTTTGGATGTTAATGCAATATGTTGTGAGGATATGTCGATTAGTGACCATAAGTGTATCTTTTTTAATCTTTCTGCCACCGCTGACCCCCCCTGTCAGAAACGTCTGACACAATCGCGCATTATTACTCAAACAACTGTTGAGCAATTTATCTCTCGGATTGATTGTGATCTTAATTTTATGGGTTGTAGCAATGATGTTGAGCTCTTAACGCAATCTTTTAACAATTTCTGCTCTTCTGTGTTGGACGAAGTGGCTCCTTTAAAAATAAAAACTAAGCCCATCTGTAACACCTCGCCTTGGATGACGGACGATGTGCGTTGTCTAAGGAGGAGGTGCCGTACGACTGAACGTCTGTGGAAATCCACCGGGCTTGAAGTGCACCGTCTGTATCTTAAGGAACTTATGCAGGATTTTAATAATTTAGTTGCGAAATCTAGGACTGCTTATTTTTCTAATTTAATATCTTCCTCTAAGCGAAACCCTAAGGTTTTATTTGATACCATACATAATATTGTATCTCCTCCAGCCATTGTGACAACAATACGTTCTCAAAATGATTGTGATAGGCTGCTGTCTTTTTTTATTGATAAGGTGCAGTCTATTAGATCAAATATTCTGCGTGGACCACACTTTCTTGTAGACTGTATTCGTTCACCTAGGCCTATTACCATTGAGTCTTTTAAACCAATCAACCTCCTTGATTTGATAAACTTGACTAATAAAATGAATATGTCCTCTTGTCCACAGGATATAATACCATCTTCATTATTCTCAAAAGCACTCCCTGTCATTGGGCCTAGTATAGTAGCTATTGTCAATTCCTCACTGGCCACAGGCTGTGTCCCATCCTATTTTAAACATGCCACCATTCAACCTATATTAAAAAAGCCTAATTTGGACCCTACAGTTTTAAAGAACTATCGGCCCATATCAAAGTTGCCATTATTGTCCAAAATTCTCGAAAAAGTTGTGGCTAATCAACTTACAGATGTTTTAGAGAATTTGGAGTTGTATGACAAATTTCAATCAGGTTTTAGGAAGAGACACTCTACTGAGACCGCATTGGTGAGAGTCTGTAATGACCTTCATATGGCCTCGGACGCAGGTCTATGTTCAGTGTTGGTACTTCTAGACCTTAGTTCTGCCTTCGATACTGTGGACCACCATATCATGATTAGGAGATTACGTGAATGTGTGGGCATATCGGGAGTGGCCTTAGATTGGTTTACCTCATATCTTTCTGATAGAAGTTTTAATGTCTATATTGATGATTCCCACTCTGTATCATCACCCCTGTTTTGTGGTGTTCCACAGGGTTCAGTGTTGGGCCCAATATTGTTTATTTTATACTTGTTGCCTCTGGGTCAGATCATTAGTGATTTTAACATTTCTTATCACTTCTACGCAGATAACATTCAGCTACATTTTACTTTCCAGCAAAATGAGTCATCCAAACTTACAATGCTCTTAAACTGTATAGACGCCATAAACAGCTGGATGGCTGAAAGTTTTCTGCAGCTAAATCCAGATAAGACGGAGGTTTTAATTGTAGCGCCAGACAGCGCTATCCCTCTGATTATGCAGAACATTGGACCTTTGTCATCTGCGGTCCGGACTAGTTTAAGGAACCTTGGGGTAACATTTGATAAATCCCTATCCTTTGAAACCCACATCAAATTGCTGACCAAATCCTGTTTTTTCCACTTACGTAATTTAAGTAAATTGAGGTCTGTGGTCTCTCACTCAGAACTGGAGATGCTCATTCATGCCTTCATTTCCTCCCGTATTGATTATTGTAACTCACTTTTCTCTTCACTTAACAAAACTGTTCTTCATCGACTGCAATCCATTCAAAATTCAGCTGCTAGGTTACTTACTCGTTCAAATAGGCGCACCCATATCACCCCGATACTCTGCTCCCTTCACTGGCTTCCTGTAACTTACAGGATCCAATTCAAAATACTAACCATAACCTATAGGGCTTTACATGGCCAGGCCCCTGCTTATCTTGTTGACATAATTCATTTTCATACCCCTCTCCGGTCTCTCAGGTCTAATAATCAAAATCTGCTATCTACGCCACGCACTCGTTTAAAGACATGTGGGGATAGAGCCTTCGCCGCTGTGGCACCCAGATTATGGAATGCTTTGCCAACCAGTATTAGGTTTGCTGAGAATGTGGACAGTTTTAGGGGACAAGTGAAGACTCATTTGTTCAGGTTAGCTTTTGGGTAATCTCTGTACTTTATATATTGTTAATTTTATCTGTTTTATTTAATTTTTTATCCATTTTTGTCTATTGTTAAGCGCTTTGTGACTTAGTCTGTGAAAGGCGCTGTATAAATAAATTTTACTTACTTACTTACTTTATCTGAAGGGCCTCTTTGTCGGAGTACTGTGCCATCCTCAAAACGCAATGAACTATCAGTGAATACTTTGTGTTTTTATGCCATTGATCGCTGCTGGGCGTGTGCGATGCATAACGTTAGATCACCTATTTACCATGTGAAAAGCGCTAGGGGCGTGGCGAGCTCAGCTCATTAAAGTTAATGAACTGAGAACGAAAAAACTGTACCTCTCCTTGGTTTCAAACGAATTACATAAACTGGAAATATTTCTTTTTTTAATAAATTACTTCATTTAAAAGAAGAGAATACAAGCTTAAAAAGACACATGTCTCGTATCTCTGTGACAAGTATTGACAGTTACAGTTAATTTTTCGGACGCGTTTCAGAATGGACTTCACTGACAGAGAGAACGCAGAACGCGCATCATGTTTATTTTTCTTTATTTGGCGAAAAGCACAACACTGTTTTTATTGTGAGGTTCCACAAAAAAAATACAAACTTAACAGGATCGAATGATGTACAACACTTATATGTAAGATCAAAATCAACAGAGTAATTTGAGTCTCTTTTGCACTGATAAGGAAAAAAGTCAGCTGGTATCGCCGGCGAGACCGCCGACCCCAGAGGGTTAATGATCTTATACAATAAGCCGGTCATCTCACATCTAATAGGTTGTTTAAGTAGACACTTTGCCAGTCCAGTTGCAAAACATGTGTTCCCCATTTTTGTTGTTGTTACAGTCACTCAACTTGGATAATACCTTTCCAACTGTCCACAGCGTCATAAACAATTTGTTCGCTGGCGACGTCCACAACTTTCTCTCTGACCTCATGAAGCTTTTCCACATTGAAAACTTCGTCCTGCAATTCGTGTAAAATAGCATCCACTGACCCCTGAATCCTCTGGGGGTGAACCCTTAAACCACAATGGCTCAATGCCTGGGCTACGATGTGCTTAAGGTCTGGTCTCACCAGATTACGGGTCAGTTCATCAAAGTATGCATCAAAGAAGTAGGGACCTGGTTCAAACAAGCAGGAGTGTCTAATCTGACTGGGGTGATCCACTTCACAACCCAAACAGATTTCTTTTAGCTTTTTGTTGATGATGTGTTCCAGAAGGACCACAACAGTTGCTTTTATGATTTTGAATCCGTCAGAGCGGATACAACTGTCTGTGTTGTCAATTCCAGCAAAGGATGCTGCTCCGGCTATTGCACCAGTGTTGCCATATGGGGTTGTAAGGAAGGTCAGGTTGTGATATCCAAGGTCCATGCAAAATTTATCCAACCAACTATTGTCGCAAGTTTGTGGGTGGGGCTCCATCGGCATAGCATTGTCATCAGGCATCGCGGGAGCAGCCTCAGGGTTACTGCTGTAGCAGAAGACAGTTGCAGGTTCTTGAGACATGTTGAATGAGTGTAGCCATTGTACCGAGCTGTAGACGTTTTT